AGGTTTAATAGGTTCGGAGGTCCCTATATTTGCGGGTTCGTTTCAGTTGGGTCCTCCAATTTTTAAAGTGATCAATTGGGTCCCTAATTTGGTAAATGTGATTCAATAATAGGATCTCCGTTAAATGCAGTTAACGTACGTTAACTTTGTTATGAAGTGGAAGCTGAGGCATTCAGGTGGCAATCTTTTGAGCTGTATAGGTTGATTTATAACATTTTTATATTATTCAGAACATATATAATTGAACATACCCAGTCGTCATTGAAGAAATCAGCAACTTGGAGAGGGGTTCCCACAAAGCCTCAATGACAACGTGAAATTGATCAGATGGAAGCAGGCCCAGCATTCCAGATATAATCCTTTTCATGGCAGCCGCTGTTGCTGGTGGAACATCTTTCTGGATGTGGCTAACATCCAGCGGTTCTATCTCTTGTATCGCCTCAGTGAGCACTGATTTCTATAAGTACAACACTCGATAGTCAAATTCGTTATTTTACTTGCCAAACATCCCAAAGCAATTTAGAGCGTGTACGTCAAAAGCTTAGCAATACATATAGATATCTCGGATGAAATGACACGAGGTAAAAAGGTTACACTCGATTATCGAAAAGAAAGGATCTTTTTCCACTATAATTATTTTTCACAGCACCTAAAGGGCTTGTGTGAAAGAGTTCACGCCAGGAAGTTAAAAAGAAATTATTTAAAAATTGAACTCTGTAATCAAATACACACTCCAATAGAGGGGAGGAAAATTAATAGCCACATCAAGAGAAGCTATGCGAAGAATAGCAAGAAGAGAAATATTTATAGGGAATAAAGGAATGGAAAAAGGGTACCTTGGATTTGGAGGTGAAATCATCGGAAGAATGGGCAGAAGAAGCAATAAGGAGAAAGGGAGAACGAGGTTTTGTGCGAGAGAATGATAGAGAAAGAGAGTGAGGAAAGGGTGAAAGAGAAGGGTGGCGACGGAGAGGAGGAAGATAAGAAAGGGAGATGATGGAGGAAAGGGTTGCCATGAGGAAGACAACCACCAACACCCACTCTTCCTTCCCTTCTCTCTCTGTGACGTTGTCTTGCAGCCACAATATACAGCTATACAGCTCAAAAGATTGCCACCTGGATGCCTCAGCTTCCACTTCATAACAAAGTTAACGTACGTTAACTGCATTTAACGGAGATCCTATTATTGAATCACATTTACCAAATTAGGGACCCAATTGATCACTTTAAAAATTGGAGGACCCAACTGAAACGAACCCGCAAATATAGGGACCTCCGAACCTATTAAACCTTACCAAAATTTTCCAATGGGTGCCAAATATTTGTCAGAGAAAAAACATAAACAAGATATAAATTCTAATTAGATACACTATGATAGATGATATTTAAACTTTAAATTGTATAGTTAAACAAGAAAAAAAAACATTTAAAAAGTATTCATATGCCCAAATAAAAATAATAACATGAGAAATAATATGAATTAAAACTTATTATAATCTTGTTAATTAAATTTTACATAATCCAAGTATACGTAGTAATAATTACAACATAATATCCAGTTTATAGATAGATAATGAGAATAATTTGTTTTTTAGTGGTTATATTAATCATGATAGAAAATAAATAAATTAATAGTAATCCTCCAAATATATGGATAGCTAGTCACCTAAATTAAATGAAATTATATTTAAGTTTATACAAAACTGCATACTCCTGAAAGTCTATGTAATTAATTAGATGCTAATATACTTAATCTTATAAACAAACAGTGATTGAAGATTGGGGTCCTATAAATCATTAATTATGGTGAGGTCCTAAAAAAATTATATGTTGATGTTACTACTACAAAAGAGTAACACAAGCCAGGTGTAGCAGCCAAAGTGAACGGTGGTGACCGCCGAGTCGTTCTACACCACCGGTCTCTCTAACTCCACGTGGCAGTCTCTGAATGCATCAATCATTGCCACGGTTTTCTCTCTCTCTCTCTCTCTCTCTCCCTTCCGCCATTCTCGCTCCCCCTCTTATCCCTCCCCAAAAAGCTCTTCTCTTTCACCACTCCGACACCAACCAACCGTTCCATCCCAACAGCAACATCAACCATGTCTCGCCATTGCGACCTTTGTGCCACCCCACCTGGGATTCTGCTATTACGAGCCAAAGAATGGAACTATCACACGCACCGCTACATGGTGCTGTTCATCACCTTCCTTGCCTACGCCTGCTATCACGCCTCCAGAAAACCCACCGGGATAGTGAAGAGCGTGTTGTGCCCGGAACACGAGGATCCAAAGGACGGTTGGATACCCTTCAACGGCTACGATGGACCATCAAAGTTGGGAGAGATCGACGTGGCATTTCTCGCGTGTTACTCCATTGGGATGTACGTGGCGGGCCACTTGGGAGATACCCTGGACCTTCGATTGTTCCTAGCTTCTGGAATGATCGGTAGCGGCATATTCGTCGGGCTTTTCGGAATGGGGTACTTCTGGAACGTCCATTGTTTTTGGTTCTATCTCTCCATGCAAATGATCGCGGGCATGTTTCAAGCCACGGGTTGGCCTTCGGTTGTAGCCGTTATCGGTAACTGGTTCGGAAAGAGGAAGAGAGGGCTTATCATGGGAGTTTGGAACGCGCATACTTCGGTTGGTAACATTTGTGGCTCTCTTATTGCTGCCAGTGTTTTGGATTATGGATGGGGTTGGTCTTTTGTTGCGCCTGGTGCTTTGATCGTGTTTGGTGGGGTCATTGTTTTTCTGTTCTTGGCTCCTTACCCAGAGGATGTGGGCTTCTCTTCTTCTTCTTCTTCTTCTTCTTCTTCTTCTTCTGTTCATGTTGCTGATGATAAAGAAGCTCTGGTGCATATAACTGGTGATGGCGCTCTCAGACACGCGTCTGTGAATAGAAAGGGCATTGGGCTTGTTGAGGCGTGCATGATTCCAGGAGTAATACCTTTTGCGTTGTGTCTCTTCTTCGCCAAGCTTGTTGCCTACACGTTCTTGTATTGGTTGCCGTTTTACTTAACTCATACTGGTAACGATTGATAGTCAGATTTTATGGTGTAGCTCCCCAACTAAGTTACAAACTATTTTCTGTGAATTGATGAAAGTTGAAAATAATAGTTTATGGAACCAAAATTGCATGGATATTAAATGTTTATATCTTCATTTTGCAGAAATTGGAGGAAAGTATATGTCTGTTAAGTCTGCTGGAAACCTTTCAGCCTTGTTCGATGTAGGGGGCATTGTTGGGGGTATCCTTGCTGGCTATATATCTGATAAACTCAATGCCCGTGCTATAACTGCGGCTAGCTTCATGTATGCAGCTATTCCTTCTATGCTTTTATACCAGCATTATGGAAGTGTTTCTATAAATGCCAACATTGGTCTTATGATGGTGACTGGATTATTAGTAAATGGACCTTATGCTCTTATCACCACTGCTGTCTCTGCTGACTTGGGCACACACAGTTCTCTCAGAGGTGATTCTCGTGCTCTAGCAACAGTGACTGCCATTATAGATGGTACTGGTTCTGTTGGTGCAGCTGTTGGTCCTCTTCTCACTGGGTTCCTGTCAACAAGGGGATGGACTGAAGTTTTCATGATGCTAGTTGTTGGTGCTTTTATTGCGGGGCTTCTTTTGTCACGATTGATCATAGCAGAAATTGGAGAGAGAAGTAGTGGAACTCAAAATCCTGAAGGTAATGAATGCTTCCAAGTCATGTCATCAGTTTCAGTCCATGCCTTTCTTTTATCAATCTTGTTCCTTTTGCATGGAAAAATCTATTTGATAAAAGGATTGTCCAACATACCCCAAGCAAAAATGGGGTTAAACAACCCAATCATGACTGAGTTTTGCAATTCTCTTTCGTACTTTGAGATAGTTGATTATAGGTGATGATTGCACAAATAAACTATCATAAGCTCTTTAACCTCGTTTTATCTGGGTTAAGTTTGACAATCTCTGTCAAGTAGGTTGTCTAACTTGTCCGAAGTAAAACTGAGGTTAAAACACCCCATCATGACTTATTGGTGGAATTCTTTTATGTTCTTCATGATTATAGGCTGTAGGTATTAATTGCACCAATCTTCTATGCATATACTCACTCACATTCATGTTGCATGGAACATGTTGTGTCCTAAGGCGTTTGTTCGTGTTCTTTGACTAGAGTATGAACAAATAGCATTCTCATGTTTGAATTACATCAAACTCATAATATTGAATGTGTGGATGTGTTATCATCCCTTGTGATGTTTTTGACATGCTGTTTGATCTTTGGCAGCCACTGCATCTCAACCGCTTCTGGAGTAGGAAAGATGACACTGATCAGGTCCTCATGAATCATTAAATCTAATGCTCAATACATGTGTTGTAATGTGAGAAAATTGTACAGTTTTGTTAATGACATCGTCTCTAGCCTGCAGCACCCACTTCACTGTTCATTTTACAGACGATTAAATCATCTAATAGACTTAAAGTCCATTCATTCAGCCTTCCGATCAATTTTTTGTCTATACTTTGGAAGGTTTCAGAGGATCTTGATTCCTTTGCATCGTGAATTGGATGTATGAAGGGATAATTGCGGAGACTGACTGCTTGTACTGAGTCATCTTGACACTAGACATTCCAAAGTGTCATTTATTACCTTAATCCTTGTGTGACACTGATTCAAGGAGCCACCACTTTCAATTTTGTCAGCAGTAGATTAGGATATAGAGCCAAGTTTCTTCTATCTTGTTCACAACCCAAATCCCCCTCCAGCATCTCAAATTTTGTTATCACAAGATGTTAGTCATTTCGGCTCGTGTATGAAAATAAATAGATGAATAAATCTCGGTATATAGTATGATTCCTATGTTACTTTTGGTTGTGAACTCTACTTTGTGTATGAGTAGCAGGTAAACCATAATTTCTCTCGCCTTCGTTATGATTTTCCTCCCTCCTCAGCCTTCGTTATAATTGAATTGTATCAATGTCTGTGTTTTCTTTATTCATGAAGTCATGATGTACATTTTAACTCATAAACATATTTCGACCGTGCTCTTCATTTTCCTGTTTCTGAAGAAATGGCTTCATCTGATATACGAGGACTCTGTAAGNTTAAAACACCCCATCATGACTTATTGGTGGAATTCTTTTATGTTCTTCATGATTATAGGCTGTAGGTATTAATTGCACCAATCTTCTATGCATATACTCACTCACATTCATGTTGCATGGAACATGTTGTGTCCTAAGGCGTTTGTTCGTGTTCTTTGACTAGAGTATGAACAAATAGCATTCTCATGTTTGAATTACATCAAACTCATAATATTGAATGTGTGGATGTGTTATCATCCCTTGTGATGTTTTTGACATGCTGTTTGATCTTTGGCAGCCACTGCATCTCAACCGCTTCTGGAGTAGGAAAGATGACACTGATCAGGTCCTCATGAATCATTAAATCTAATGCTCAATACATGTGTTGTAATGTGAGAAAATTGTACAGTTTTGTTAATGACATCGTCTCTAGCCTGCAGCACCCACTTCACTGTTCATTTTACAGACGATTAAATCATCTAATAGACTTAAAGTCCATTCATTCAGCCTTCCGATCAATTTTTTGTCTATACTTTGGAAGGTTTCAGAGGATCTTGATTCCTTTGCATCGTGAATTGGATGTATGAAGGGATAATTGCGGAGACTGACTGCTTGTACTGAGTCATCTTGACACTAGACATTCCAAAGTGTCATTTATTACCTTAATCCTTGTGTGACACTGATTCAAGGAGCCACCACTTTCAATTTTGTCAGCAGTAGATTAGGATATAGAGCCAAGTTTCTTCTATCTTGTTCACAACCCAAATCCCCCTCCAGCATCTCAAATTTTGTTATCACAAGATGTTAGTCATTTCGGCTCGTGTATGAAAATAAATAGATGAATAAATCTCGGTATATAGTATGATTCCTATGTTACTTTTGGTTGTGAACTCTACTTTGTGTATGAGTAGCAGGTAAACCATAATTTCTCTCGCCTTCGTTATGATTTTCCTCCCTCCTCAGCCTTCGTTATAATTGAATTGTATCAATGTCTGTGTTTTCTTTATTCATGAAGTCATGATGTACATTTTAACTCATAAACATATTTCGACCGTGCTCTTCATTTTCCTGTTTCTGAAGAAATGGCTTCATCTGATATACGAGGACTCTGTAAGAAACAAGTGTAGATTTAGACCAAAGGAAAAACAAGTGGCTTTACCGTTGGGATGTTTAGAGACTGAAACAAAACTAAGGTTTTTGTTTCATCTTACAATAGGGTTTATTAAGCACTGATGAATGCAGAGGATCAAAATCAATGCTTAAGGTAGTTTTAAGTCTTTTCTGAAGTGACAATTCTAAAACTGAAATCACTTCCGATGCATTACAGCTAAATACTTAAACCTGTTTATTCAATAAAATAAATAAATTTAAGCAGACATTTAACCATTTAAACTCATAATTAGAACTCATCTTATGTTGAAATTTTAAAGGCTTGCAAAAGAAACAGGGGTCCAAAAGAAAAATGATACCTACCTTAACGTTGTATAGTGGATCGACACCAAACAAAGGTAGACAGCCAACGCCATTAACATCGTTAATGTGAAAGTGACAGATGGATAAGTCCTTTACCAAAGTTCAAACATGCATAAACATAATCCTATGATTTGATAGAACAACAAGGGCTGCAAAAAAGCACCCCTTCTTTCCTTTACATCAAGATGCAGTTCTAATTTTAAATTAACGAATGTTAATAGGTTGTTTATAATATCAAAATTACTGTTAGGCATATTTTTTAAAATATAAATATTTTTAATTAACTTTTCTTAGGTATATTTTCAAAATAACTCCAATATATCATTTATTTTCTACTTCAACATACTCTCCATTGCCTAATTTAACTTCTAAGGCAAATGAATCTATGTTAATAAAAGCCTTTTTTTATCTCCAGTCATATATAACTACTGCAAGTGATATCTTTGATTTTTTTTCTTTTATTCTCAAAATCTCCTTTGATAGATTGAAGTTTGACTCTTTTCATATTTGAATCTCATTCAAATTCTTATTGAAGAGTATTATATTTTGCTATCACAATCCTTGAAAATATGACTAACAGTGAGACTCCTTAAATAATTTCAAGAACTTCAAGGGAGAGAAACAATGATCACAGCAGAGGCCTTTTCCTCCAGATATGGAATTACTACAACGTTCCCATCATCAGCAGCAATTGATCCAATCCAACGAGAAACAAGGACAGGCTTGTTTCCTTCATGAAACATTACGAACTCTCCAAAATCATTCCACGTGCCACCACTGATTTCATTCTTTAGGCTTTGGTCCAACACTTTCTTACAGTATCCACTCTTTGAGTGACCCTCTACCTTGATCACCTCACACGATTCTTTCACAAACAAACTAAATTCTGTCCACACCCTCTTGTCAAGCTTTTTCTCTGCTTCCTCAACGCACAGCATGGCAACTTCCCTCCAAAATTCCTGGTTCAAATTTAAGTCTTTGCCAATGAACTTGAATGCCATGCTCTGTGCCTTTCTGCATCTGGTGCGGTTGATCACATCAGCATGGAGAGGCTCGTCGTTTTTTACGAGAAGAGAGTGATGAAATATGGGTGCTTTAATCTCTTGTCTTTGGAGTAACATGCTGCTGTGAATGTCAGCCCAAGTCTTGAGGAAGTTCTCTACCACCAACGCATCTGCCAAGAGAAGGCTGCAGCTAATACCTACTGTGTATCCTCCACATTCAAACCGGGTCACCTGAAACAAAAAGCAAAAACAAAAATCAAAAGAGTCCTTCAATTTGATGCATGATTAATATATAACTCAGTATGAAACCTTATGGTTAATATACATACGACCTTATCCATCTCGAAAAGCTTAAGGCTAAATGATAAACAAAGCATGCTCTACTTGCCTGGACGTAAAAGAGAGGAGAGAACTGAGGATTGTGTTCACCAATTTCCTTCCAAAAGACAAGCTCAGCCTCAAGATGCTCCTTTTCAGCTCTCAATGAAAGAAACTCTGACAAGACCATGGGGAAGCGAACCTCGTAGAGTCGAATGCCAGAATCATTGGACACAATCTCCAACACTGCCTCGTCCTCATCACTGTCCTTCCTTTTGAGCCTCCCAGAAAGAAGTGGGTGTTCCACCAGGGCACTGCCTAATGACTCTACAATCCAACCAGCCAAAAACTTATCACCCTCTTCCTCGTTCAACGACTCGTAGTAGAGAACGATTTGGTAGCAACCATGAATGCCCTTTTTCTTCATAATTGAGTCAGTGTCACTCATCAAAACCTGGCGAACTCGTCGTGGTTCTGACACCTTCACCGGTCGTACACTCAGCACGGCTTCAATCTGCAGCTTTGGGAGCTTTTCGCTGGCATCACACACAGCCATTGTTTCTTGAACAAATCAGTGTTCATTCTGGCCATATTTATTGGGAAAAACTTTGGTTAGCTTGAGGAATTCTATTTTCAAGTATGTTCTAATTTTCTTTTACTTTTATTTTTTATATTACTATCAATAAAATTACTTGTTTTTACTTTGAAAAGAAATTGATGGTTGTGAGTAGTGTAATACTTGACAAAATAATCTATTTATCCCATTTTTATTATATATATTTATTAACAAATCTATCCATTCAATACAATGATAAAAAAAAAGATTAAATCAACTTCCTCCTTTTAATTTTATTAACAATTAATCATCCATCATGACTACTCAAAAATCAATACACTAATACGGTTTTAGCTTTTTAAATAATGTAATATGTTTTACTTTTTAAGAATACTAAAAATATAAAGACAGTTATTGACACAAAGGCTAATAAAATTACTTTCTTTTTTCACGGTTTTCATATTAGACACAATTTTCATTTGGTACTAAGAATATTTGTGAGGCTTCCGTTTTGTGCTTCCAAGTCTATGAAAATTTTTAATTTTTTGTAAATTTGTTTTTAATATTTTTTATATATATTTATGTTAAAGTATGTCTTTCTTATGTTTAATATTTTTGTATCTAGATTTTGACTTATTCTGGATGTGATAATATAATGTATTGTTTTTATGCTGGTTTTGTATTATTTTGTATAGGTATAATATGTAGGAAGAAATAAAAACAAAAAAATAATATTAAAAAACGTTAATATTAGATTTCGATTATAACCATAATTGAAGAATAAAGTAGTATTTAGCTTCAATTGTATAAGAACCAAAGCCAAATATCCTATTTTGCTTTAGTTCTAGGAGATCCAAAGCCAAATACCCCTGTTTTGCTTTAATTTTTGTTAGAACTGAGTTTTGATTTTTGTAAGAACTAAGACTAAATATCTTATTTTGCATCGGTTCTCGTAATAATTATGGCTAAATACCTTTAAAATTAAATATATATTTTTTTAAATTAGAAAGAGTGTAAGCTTGAGTTGCTATTTGAATAGTAGTCTTAAATCCATATTTTTTTTATATTTTTTATTATTTATTTATAGTTTCATGTTTCTCTTATATGGAATTGAATCGTGATAAAGACCTTTATACTTCTTTTGAAAACTGAAACAAAAAAATCATCATTTTTTACATCGGCTGGATATGCTTCGATTATAGAACCGATAAAAAATATCCAAAATAATTAATGTGAAAACCAATTCCTTCACTAGTGATAACAATAGTTAAATGACAAAAATTAATTCAACCAATTTTTCATAATTAAATATTTCTTATTTTCATTCTTTTATAAAGTGTTTTAAAATTATATTTTTAAATTTGTTTGAAAATTTAAAAGCAAATGCATTTTAAGAACTATATCGTTCTTACATAGTCAAATATACCCCGTTAACTCTTCAAATCTACTTCAAGCATATTCTTTGCTAGCTCCAACTTCACATTTTTAGACTAATATGTCTTATGTCGCTCTTCCTTTAGATCGAATAGAAGTGTGTATGTAGAAGACACTTTGATGTTCAAGTACGTCAATGATAGTTAACACAGTAATAACAAAACGTAATTAATTTATCTCAGGTATTATGTTATTTATACAATATTTATAGGTCTTTCCTTAGATGAGTTTGATTCGAATTAACTTGGTTAATCTTTGAATAATCATTATGCTAATCATGTCTTAACTTGACTTATACAATATTTGTTATGTAGATTAATATGATATGGTCAAACACATCATCTATCCTCACAACATGTGAATCGAGTACATCTAGACTCATGTGGTTGAAATGATATTAAGTGTATTAAATACACTAAGATTCCAAATTCAATATATATTCAATGTAATCTCATTGTTATCATAAGAAAAAAATTATATTTATCTGATATCATTATATAGGTATATATGTCATAGTTCTTTAAAAAGATACTTCAGATTTATAATTAAAATTTTAATAGATCAAAAAAATTTATGGCAAATTTTATTCTATGTATTATTTCAAATAAAATTTATTTTATTTATAATCAGTAATCGAGAAAAAAAAATGATAGAAACTACAATAAATTAAAATGATTTATTTGTTAGAGCAATAGGACGGGTAGTTGGAATTGCAGTATTCTATGCATAATGATTGGCGTGTTTAAATTAGAGTTTTGGTGTACGGATTTAGCTAACATTTGTATCTATTTGGTGTTTATGCAAAATTTGGTAATCCGACCAATCTAATATTTTTTAATTGCTACCACAAATAGTAGTTAAGTTAGCTACAAGTTAATATCACTGTGTACTAACTAGTGTTTAACAACACGCAAACAACAGTTGCTAGTAACAAATTTCTAAACGTTTTCAAAAAGTATTAAAGCAAAATTATTTTATAGTTTATTTATAAATATAACTTATTTTAATATTTGAAAATATAAGAAAGTATAAATTATTTTTTATTATTGTTAAAATTGTTCACGTAAAAATTATATATATATATATATATATATATATATATATATATATATATATATATATATATATATATATATATATATATTCATGTTTAATTTTGAAATAAATATGATAACATATGGCAACAAATTCTATTTATCTATTTTTATTTTTTGAAATATAAATTTGTTTACTTATTATTTTTATTGAAATTATTATATTAATTTACCACTTTTATTGTTATTATATTTATGACAAGATTATTATTTTATTATGATTATTATTGTTACTGTTTGTGGTAATGTTAAGTGAAGTTACAAATGAAAAAAAAGGATTGGAAATTGATTTTGTCATTTTCGATATTGAGGGAAATCAGAAAGAAAAAAATAAAGTTATAATGTTTTAGACTGAGGATAAGTGAGTGGAAAACTTGTAATTAATTTTATTTATGTAGAAGAAAATATATTTTTTAATTTTATTATAATTTTAAATGCAAATTAAAATTAAAATTAATTCTAAATTGAGATAATTTTTTAATATATATATAAAAAAATATTTAGAAATAATATGATATTAAAATAAATTATTTTACCTAATATTAAAATTTAAAATAATTATTTTTAATTATTTATAATTATGATATTTATTTTAATAATTAATATACAAAGTTATCAATTAATGAAATATTAATAAAAATTAATCACTTTAACATAATCATAAACTTTATAAATTATAAATCTATAAATAGTTTTCTAACTTCATAAACTCGTAAAAGTGTACTTAGTCAAAATTAAAGATTGTGTATAATTTTTTTTATAGATTTGTTTGTTGAAAGTGTAAATTTAGTTTGTTTTATTTAACACTTAAATTACGTTATTCTGATAAAGTGAACCGTAGTTTTTTTATTTAGGATTCAATATAAAAATTACATGCCATCTTCAATTTTAAAAAATTCATTCTATTTCTTTGACATATTGAATGGTATATGAAGATTTTAAAAGGGTATATTAAGAGTTAATATAAAAACATATAATATTAGTCATAATATTTGAACTAGAAAAAAATTATTACCAGTTTTATTTTTAGTAACTTAATATTATTTTGTATTTAATTTTATTTATATTTGAATTAAATATATTCATTATTTAAAAAAAAACTGAGTTCAAATATTTTTGATTCGCTAAGAAGTGAAACAGATTGAGTTGACTCACTAAGTGATCAATCCGTAATGAATCAAATTGGGTTAAATGAGATAATTTATTTTGACACTAAATACATACAAGTTGTTTAATTGAGATAAAACAATAATAAAATAAACAACCAAATTATACAATAACGGTTATAAGTGTCCTAGTATTGTAATTAATAAATTTTTAATATGATGAAAATTTTGCGAAGAATCATCGTTGGAAGTGATATATATGATAACAATTTGAGTTATCGTTATCAATTTTTTCAATAATGATCCTAGAATAATCCTTACAATGTAATTTAAACCATCGTTAAAGATTTTGTTGAGTAGTATTGGTTCTTAATATACATACAAACCTTTCAAAAACTAGTTATGAAAAAGACATTGTAACTCTAACGAAGATATTTTGAATGGATTTAAGAAAAAATAAAAACAAGTTATTATCATAAACCAAATAACATTTAATACTTTCCATTAACTATAGGGTAAAATATTCTACCTACTATTTGATAAAATATCTTTGAATTATTCAACAATATTAACATGCAATATATATATATATATATATATATATATATATATATATATATATATATATATATATATATATTGTTTGTGTACCCGTAAATGATACTTCATCTAATTAGACAACTCAAAATGTTTAACTATTTATCATTACTACAAATAAGGATCTATATCCATCTTTTTCTACCACGGCCTGACTGAAATTTTGTTGAACAGACATTTTTTTTCAAATTTCAAATTAGAAAAAATCGAAGTAAGAATGGTGTCGAATTGAGATTACCTTCAACATAACTTCAATGTAAACATACTTAAAACCTATAAACATACTTCAAGTTGATCTGGCTAAATAAAATTTCAATGCATGAAAACACAGATCTCTCTCTATATAGAGAGAGAAAGTATAAAATTAATAATATATACATATGAAAAATATACAGCAATTGAAAATAAAATAAATATAATTAAAATAATTAATCTATTAAAAATCTAAAAGTTAAAATTAGAAATACAGTCAAATTATATTTTATCAATAAAAAATACAACATTATATAATATTTTTAATTCTATAATTTATTAAGTTAATTTAACTGAAAATTTCCATCATACACTCTTACAACTTGATAAATTAGTTCACTAACTTTCAACTACCAAGGACCAACTCCAGCGAGTTTCTTTAACAAAATTTGCAACTACTTTTTCTAAATCATAACCTTGCAGTTTAGAAAAGAAGCATCTCACAAAACTTCCTTCGATCCTTTCTGAAAGTTGCATGCTTCTTATTTTTGTGAAGTAAATGACTTCGTTATATTAA